AGGCTTAATTTGCAAAATGTCGACCATTTGTCTTAAAATGACTCAGAATTCATCGTTCTTGCATTTTCATACAAATTGCATTCTGTTCTGACTCTTTACTGTTCGATCCTCTTGTCTCTCAGCTGCCAGACTTTCTGTTCACGACTAACATCATATACTACTTATATCACATACCACAGGATGACATCACATAAAAGTTATTTATTTTCGTAAATCTAATGATAGATTCAAATTAATTCATCACTGTACGGTACTCTTAACACTTTTTATGTATGATTTCTTTTATTCTCAAATGTTATTTTTCCTGCTCAAATTTCAAGAGTAAAAGAAGAGTTTTTAAAAGTAGGGGATCGTTAGGAAACCAGTATTTAAGTGTTTCGGTACAAGGGACGTATTAATAGTTGGTTGAACTTAATTAGAAATAAGATAGCAAGTTATACCAGATAAATCATAAAAATCTTTAAGTTGAACCAATAATTTCTCTATGATTTACGAAGAACTGTACAACAAATTCGATTCACATGAAATTTTGTTGAATATTTATTACTTAAATCTTTTTGTTTACTGTGTATTTTTACCGATGACCTCTGTTGCTATGTTATAGTATGTTTGGGTAATATGCGCTAGAATGACATATACATGAAGATGCATTAGGTTCTTGTGACCGCTATTCCTAAGTCCTTTCACACATACTAATGGTTTTTATTGGAGATTACAATCACTATGTGCTATAATGATCATAGTTCGTATTTAAAGTTTTTGAAATCTGTATATGACCAGTTTTTTTTGTCAGATTTACCAATTGGAGTTAATTTTTAGTTTTATGACTTTGAATTGATTGATTTCAGAGTTTAGAAAGTAAATAAAAATATTCACTTCTACTTGGAGTGTGGGCAGATGATGTTTTCCAGAGTGGTATTGAAAGCCTAATGAATTAAATAATCACCAAAAGTTGAAAACTGTTCCTTTTGTTTGTTTTATTTACTTTGGATAAAATTTACAATAAACTGTCGTCTTCAATATTATTAAATTGAAGATTAGTCCAAGATGTAGTGATAATGAAGTATTCAATGATCTGTTTTGATCAAACGGAAAATAGAAAATATTGTAATGCGTTCATTAGTCATGGTATAGTATTATTTAAGCTAAACTCGATGATGGATAATGTGAATTGGTGATTACTGGTTTGATGATTAACTGACAACAACATTACTATTAGGCAAGAGGATATCCTAGGCTAGACCTCATAAGGAATGAGAAGCATAGACAACAGATGTTCTTGCTCTAGAGCAGTTGCTGTTCATTTTAAGGAGTTTTTCCTGCTTTGTTAAAATTGTGTGAAAATATCTTCAGAATTCAAATAGCTTCATTAGATGTGACAAGTTTTCGTACTTGTTTAAAATAGTTTCATTCATATCATAACGTACTGAACAGATGTATAATCACTGGACAAGAACGAAACTCTTGTTAGCTGGCTAAGTTACATAAAATTAGTGTTCTAGCATACTTATATGTTTTATTCAGTACATTGTACACATTCTGTGTATTCGTATGATTAAACGATTTTTTTTAAGCATTACTTTTCACTCCCACTATAATATTATCGGTTAGTCCTTTTTACGTTCCTTTTTGAAATGATAGGCTTATTTTCCTTTATAAGGTCATATAGCTGTGAGCTGATTGGCTTGCTGTCAAGGTCACAAGAAGGTTAGTTGTTGGTGCTTGATGAATATTGGCATATTTTCTATTATCATTGTTTATGTGACATTGATAAATCAAAACCTTTCGAAGGAAGAAAAGGTTTTGATTAGCAAATGAACAAAGTAGGTAAGCTGAAAAACCTTTTATATTTAATTCAGTATACATTGTAAACTATAATTACGTAACATATTATTATGGATAATTACACTGTTAAATTAGCCATTATTTTGATAAAGAAAACAAAACAATCTACTTACATAATGTAAATTCTGTTTAGTTATACGAAGAAATAATTTAAGCTTGTAAAAGTATTCTTCGTCAATTAGTTAGTTAGTTAGTCAATCAATCAATGAATCAATCAATCAATCAAACTTATCTCGGTAGAACGATGTTTGTAGTGACAAACATTCCAATTATGGCTATTAACAGAGTCTAGAAATTCTTATTATTTAATGACTGTCATTCAAATAATAATAATAATAATAATAACTGATTAATTCAATGCTTTCGTTTTCACAAAAGATTCGAATGATGTATAGTAATCAGTGTTCGAACTCAGTTTGCATTTTGAAAATAATATTATTCCTGGAATTTCATTCAATTTGACATTGATACTTTCAAACAACAATTGAAGATCTTACCATTTACTACATTTGCACTTCGTAAATATTGACTTTATTATCAGAATAAGAGATTTAAGTGGAATGACTATTATGAAACTTAGACTTTATTGTATTTCTTAAGTTGCAGTGTTAGATCTTTGATAAGATGATAAAAGTCCATTGTTAATAATTAACTTGCTTTGGTTTATTCTATGTTATTTAGTTTGAAACCGGGTTGATAGAAAACCATTTATTTATTATTCAGCTATAACTTATGCCCACATTAGTATTAAAGATGATGTTATTTATAATTAATATCAGATGGGTTTTGTGGATATTATAGTAATTCAATGGTTAAGATCATGAGTCATTTGAAGCTAGACCACCATGGAAAACCTGGAAGCACTGGACGGCCGTTTCGTCCTATTGTGAGACTCCACAGCAGTGCGCATCCACTATTCTGCCTCCCGCGAGATTCGAACCCAGGGCCTACTGGTTTCGCGCGCGAGCACCTAACCACTAAACCACCGAACCGGCATCCGGTGGTGTTAATGTCTAACTTCAACTTGAGCGACACATCCACCATTGTCATCAGTTAGCAGATATCTCACAACAGACCTGGTTGAACTTCACTGGCCACTACTTCTCATTAGAGTCTCACAATAGAACGAAACGGCCGTCCGCTGCTTCCAGGTTTTCCATGGTGGTCTAGCTTCAATTGACTCATGGTCTTAACCATTGAAATTATTTATAATTGTTTTTTTTAAATATTACAGTCAAACTAATTAAGTGATGGATATTCTTGTGTAGAAAGAAATCTGTTGTTAATTCAAGTTTATTAATGACAAACAATCGAGTTTTATTACAGCCTATTTTGAGAATTCACGCTGACGTATATGACAGACTGTAGAGGGGATACGACTGATAATTGAACTCATTAGTTTAAATGGAAAAAGATTTTGTAAATGAGGGTTTAACTCAAATAGTTTTGCCTGTATTCGGAATGCCTGACTATTTGTTTAGTTTCCTGGGTTAATAATGGAATGGAATAACAACAATGTGTCGTTAACAATTACAGAAAAATAACTAGAACTCAGAAATCGAAATTTTTACACAGGAAGCAGTAAAAAAGAACAAGTGTAGGTAAAATCATAAGTTTTTGTATATCTAAAGAAGCTACAGACTACATAGAGATGAAATTGAATTTTATCTTGATTCAATATAGGGAATATATCGAAGAACACCTGGAGATCCTTGACTCTGAGTATGACTTTTTGTGGTATCTTACATATAAACACTTCTACTAGTATTCTACATTGGCACTATTGTTTTATCTAGAAATGAAATTCGAAATGATTGACCAAAATTGTATACTTCAATGTTGAATATTGAGAGTAGTACCTAAAAGAGTGATCATGTTCCATACAAAACACTGACTTTGGTATTTTTAATTGCCCGAATCTTATTCTGAAGTTTCATGTAGTTTATATGTACGTATGCCTGATAGTCCTTAGCACTCATATTCTATGATTATTGTTTACATTTTGGATGAAAAACATCTAGAAATCATGGTGAACTATGTAATTATTTCCATAAAGTGACTTATCCAATATCTTGAAATGGTTAGATCGATCCAAAGAATCATAATAAATAATGGTACATTCTTTAAACTATATCACTTATGATTCTTATTTTGTAATGAGATCACACTAAACGTTTTTCATATTTCAGAACTTACCAGTCAAATACTTAGATTTTACACACTCTGTTAGTTCCTTCACTTATCAAACTGTTTCATGTACACTGAGATGTGGACATTTATTTATTGTCTGTGAAGCATATTTTGTCCATGAATAATTAACAAGACAAGTAATGAAAATGAAAGCTTAAACATCTTGTTCGTAATATTGTTCAGAGTTCAAGAAAACTTAATACAAATGGGGAATCGGTAAATACAGATAAAAATCAACAATCTTGAGAACTGTATGCTAGATAGTAGGAAGTTATAGACAGGAAACCCTGGACCTAGCTTTTGTGCTTTTGTGCAGTTAGTAAGGTGTACCTTCAATCTTGAGTTAGTAAATTCTCCATATGATATTCTAAATTATAATTAGTCGGACCAAGGTTTTCTGCCGACTATTTCCATCCATCTAACATCTAAGAACAGTACACACGATATAGAATCACATAATATATGGCCGCATTACAATTTGATAGGTAGAATTCAGTCAAGATCAAATGACTAAACAAGCATAACGTGGTCTCTACTCACTGGTTAATTATAAGAACCATACTATGGCAACAGCAATCAACTGATATAGATCAATAAAACTGTCAATACATATCTCTTAAACTTCACTGAAATATTTTAATAACGATTTCAAACATCATAATCATTCCAACATGCAGGTATATATAAATATCCTTATTTTAATTCGATGTTATTACGACATATTATTTACTTCTTTAATATTTCTTTTTCAAAAATGTAATCTCATTTAGTGCAATTCATGAAGTCATTGCCTGGTCTGATATTAATATTAGCATTAGTAACTGTGCTAGGTGCATTGTTATTTCAAAAAATTGAAGGCCCATATGAAGAGCGATCCAGGACACACGTATCTAAGGTGAGATTTATTATAATAATGATATATATAATTTTTTAATAAATGGGGGTACTGAAATACTTGTGGTTTCCAGCACAACGGCTACAATGAATTCCTTCCTGAGTTATAAACAGTGAATGTTGACTCGGAGTAGTTTTGAATGCATGATGGATTATGTGGGTCATGTGTGACGTTGTTGGGTGAGTGATGCACCATGTAAATACGCCTGTACATAAAAAATGATCGTCTACGAGTACCTGATTAGTAATTCAATCACCAAGCCAGATCATCTTCCCTACTCTCATAAATCAATTATCCTATGATTTCGTTTTGTTCTTGGAATGTAAAGAGGTCATGCGGAGATAATAAAAAAATGTGGAACATCAAGGTTACTGAAAATCTCTAACTTTGAAGGTTTCCACGATTGATTCGAATGGTGAAAATTGTGGTAAGACAAGTGTATTGCTACAATTAGAGTGGGTTATTTAAAGGACGATACAACTGATTTATCTTTAATTTTGTAAAATGAAGTTTTTTATGATTTTGGTTCATGTGTTTATTGGATAAACTACGTATATTAATTACGTCGATGCTTGTAATATGTATTTAAGCTTCATCAACATTCTCATTTCTATATAGTTTAATGTCTAGGTTTTTCTATTATTAAATTGTAGATAACTTGGCTAGTAATCTTAGTTAATTGTTATGATAAACTTCGGAAGTATAAATGAGTATAGAAAGTTTTTTAAATTCAATTTGGTATATTATTGGCTCAATATATTCTAAACAAGACAGTCTGATCATAAATTAACTTGTTGAAGTATTTATGAGAAATAGAAAGGTTCACAGTTTCTACTTAAGTTCAATGTAACCTAAGGTTTGATCATAAACCTATTTAATAGAATCGACTAAATTTTCATAAATCATGCAATAGAAGATGGAGGGAAAGCGCTAAATCAAATAGTTGTGTAGCATGGATACTTTTCGAAATGTGTATACTAATGGTAAGGTAGTAAAACGGTGAAACTTTGAGTTCGTAGTATCAGTAAACCATGTCTATATGACAGAATGCCTAAAATAAGACTCAGAACCCTAAGATCTAGTTTGCAGTCGAACTTTAAATATAAAAAATAACTCTTAAGATATTTTTGATCATCTTAAGACTAAGTGAGTATTTAGAGGAGAAAAAGAAACACCGGGTAATTTTTTGACAAATTAAAAAGGATTTCAGTTATCTAAGTATCGTTATAATTAAAACTAGCCTTATAGTCTTACACAAAGGATTAACTTTATTTAGTAAACTACTTCAGATTAGGAGATGAAGAATATATGTTTCACTCTGGTTCGAGACTCTTCAGCTTACCCAGTCACAGCCTCTTCGGGTCCCCTATCAAGTAATTAGTCCTCAGACTAAAGAGTTAGTTCGTTATGTTTCATGGTTATAAAATAAGTTACTTTGCAGATTTTAAGGAATTCTTCTATGAATTACTCGGACAAAATAACTGGAAAAGCATAGTTAGTCACCTGTATTTTGATGAAGATGATGAAAAGATTATGTGAATATGGGATTAATTATCAAGGTATCATCTAATGAGATAAATTTGAAAAGTTTGTCAATCTGTTTTCAACTAGAATATCAATATTCAGGGAAAATTTACAACTCTCTTGTTATGAAAATATCACGATCAATTTATTACATAAACAACTAATAACTACGATTTTCAAAGATTTCTTAGCTCATTATATAACTTCATCACCCTTCACGGTCCTTTAGGAGTAGCCATCTTCATTTCAAAGGGGGTTAGTGCTCATTATTTGAATATTCCCAGCATGTATCTAGATAACACAATTAGTTGATTAATTGTAATTCTGATAGTTATAAATTCGATTGGTTAAAATGTGATTGGTGGTTTTATTATTTTTGTGTTTACTAACAAATCAATATTTTAATTAAATTTTCCATTGGATATTGGATTTAACCTTAGATGTTTTTTAGGCTAGTTACACATAACGGTGGATCAAAATAGAAAAATTCGTTTATCATACTTCATAAGATAAATTCGTTTGGTATTGTTTATTTGAATTTTCCGATCGATGTTTAGGACAGCAGCTGATCAGTCTGTTATTGGAATATGTACATCCTGTGCGAATTGCCTCGATATTGCCTTAATTCACAAGTAGTATAAGCAAAGATGGATGGTGGTTAGCAGTGGAATACGAGACCGCGTTTCGTCTTATTTGAGACTCGTCAGCCGGATGTGCGTGTATCCCAAAGTTGATGTTCACTGCGGGAACCGAACCCAGTACCTTTAGTTTCACACGATATTGCGTCACCCAACTAGCTGATCAATTTCAGTCCTAAACATAAATGGGAAGATTCAAACAAACAATACCGAATAAATTTGAACGCCACTCTATTGCACAAGCAAATGACCATCAGAACTCAGTAACCAAGTGGATAGCGCGATGACGTTTGAAGCGAATGGTACTGGGTCAAGTCCTAGGGTGGACATCAATTCTGGGACGCGGGTACGTCCATCTGATGAGTCTCAAACAGGACGAAACGCTTTTCCTGTATTCCACTACTAGCTACCATCCATCTATGCTGCTTAAAATGGGTTGTTTTTATTGTATATTGTTTCTATAAATATATTGGATAGGAAAAGTCGTAATCAAAATTATTTCGAACAATTTAAGGTGTTTTAAAATACATACATTAGAGTTGTATATCATAAAGAATTAAAGTATACAATATCATTTTATTAGAAGCGTCTTATTTAGACATAATGTGAGCATTTAAAATTCAAAATCTTCTCCATTCATACAAGTTTTTCATTAAATGAATATTGTACTGATGGTTTCCACTGTTAGGTTTACACAAACAAAAACAATAATTTGAGTAGAATCGCATAGGTTCTCACCAACTGCTTGAAATGAGTAATATTTATACATCAAAAATTAAAACGAAACATGAGATCAACAAGTAGAAATTAAGTCGATCCAACGTTAACTTTAAAAAAGAGCATCAGTACAATATAGAAGAGCTCCAATCGTTTTAATTAGACGGTGCACTACTGAAGAGTTCAATAGTGGAACGAAACGGCCATCCAGTGCTTCCAGGTTTTTCACGGTGGTTTAGCTTCAATCGACTCATGAATTCAACTATTAAATTCTAAAAGTCATTTGATTATCTATTGTTAAATGTTCGTCAACATGCAGGAATTACATGAAATACTTATCGTGCTCAGTGATCTTTAGAAATCTATGATCGTATTGATGGAGGATTAATTTAACTAAATGAGTTGATCAATATGTGAAATATTTACGGAGCATAGTCATCAACAAAATTTAGGTTTATGATAATAATCTTAATGGTGAGATGATGGAGAAGATTTGTAGCTCAGGTGGATGATTTTGATGGAGTTTTGTTCTCTGAGCTGGATGGTTTGGTCGTGGGGCTTTCATCGTTCTTTTGAACGACATCATCAGCACAAACTTCAGGTAGAGGTGAAGTGTTCGAATTTTTCCACATATAGTTCAAAGCTTGTCCTGTACACCTCAATGTTGACTGGTTCTTGTTGATCTTAAACCTGTCATTGTTTACTTCTTTGTTTTGGTTGTATCTCCCATTAGTTTGGTTTAAATAATAAATAATAGTTATAGAAGATTTGTATAGTCCTGAACTAATTAATGTCAATAAAATTGTGTATTACTATATATTTAGTTGGTTTCATCCCATTCTAGTACCCTTATTAACTCAGTCATCAAACTGTTCAATGATTTAGTCCCAAACCATTAGAATTTTCCAGTAATCAAGTTTATTTCATCTGTCGTCAATATTTGAAATAATAAACGTCAATGGTTATGTAACATGTCAAGTATTCGGTTTCATTGTGATTTCTACTGTATTGAACGAGAACATAAGTGGGAGAAGTCAAATATGTTTGAAGACAACCTTACAGATCATCTTACCGAACTCTGAGAACCATATAGTAAATACTTAATTTGCAAAATATTAATCAATTGTTTCAAATTTGACTGTTCCTTTTGCGAATATCAGTCGATCGTCTCCGATTTCATTCCTGTTCTTTCCTTCTCTACCTTCTACTACCAGACATTCTAATCCTGACTATCGTTATATACTATTCATGTCGATATAAGTGACACACCACACTATAACTAATTAATTTTAAAAATATGTATAAACCCTTCTTATTATCACTCCAGATAATTGTTCTTTAGATTAGACAAAAGAGAATTGAACTTATCATTCATCTGTAAACTACAGTGATTATTAAGTTTAATCTTTGAAAAAAAGCCAGTGTTTAATATGATTACTATCATTACTGTTATTCTGAAAAAGGTTTTTTTATTTATATTATCATCTAATTATGTTTATAAAACAATCTTCTTTTTTTCTTTTCTTTTAAGACAAGGCAAAAAATTTTTGTCCTAGCTCAACAGTTAGCTAAAAAAGGTAGTAATGCTGATTGGTCAAAATTAGTTGCTCAAGTGGATAGATATCGTGAGAAATTATATGAAGCATGGTTATGTGGTACAGATGAATTAACTATAGATATACCGACAAAATGGAATCTTTGGGGTAGTATCTATTATTGCTTCACATTATTTACAACTATTGGTAAGTATAGTTTATAAAGTTTTATCTGTGTGAAACTTGACCAAAATACTTCAGTGATGACGACATTAACCATGATAATAGATGATACGGGTTCGGGTCATGTAGGGAAGAGGGTTAATTATGCGCCTTGTTAGTGAATGTTAACTAGCATGAAACCCCAGTTGAAGGTTTCTTAACAAGTATTTTCAGTTACCTAAGATTTTCTGAGACCGCTTTTTGTCCTTTTAATACTATTGGTTGTTTTGTATTTCCTCTTGGAAACATCGATTTGAATAAGGAGACACAAGCCTCAATTAAATTTAGATCGAAATTTGTTATATCACTGACATAATACCTTTTTAAATTAATTTGAAAAGTGAAAAGATGAAATTACAATACGGTCAGCATAATTTACAGTACTAAAACACCGAAGTTTTGAAGGTTATTTTTCTTAATGGGTTGAAATCAGATAACAGATAGTTGAAAATCTGGGAGTACTGAACAGCTACTTCGTCGTGGTATGGGACTCTTATACACTGCTAACCAAAAATCTGGCCAGGGATCGAATCTAGGACCTTCGGTTCTCATTTTGACTGCGTAACACGCAGACCAGTAAGTTAGAATTTAACTACCAGGATATGACCCGGAAATCATCTGATGATATTTTAGTGTAGGTTATTTATATCCACACAGGTAGTATATAACGGTGGTCATACATAGAATGTATTTCAGTAGAAGGTCGATGAGGAAAGAACGGGAACGGAACGCAGCCGGTATGAAAACGCATGAGCAATGAAATCTGAGACAATGGATTGATGTTTGCGACAGGAACAGTCAAGTTTGAGATGATGGATCGATATTTTGCAAATTAACGATTTACTATATGGTTCTCAGATTTTATTGAGATGCTCTGTACTTTTGTGCTCAAATAAATTCGATTGTCACCACTCGTGTTCTTGTTCACTACAGTATCAGTTAATAATTGCTCTACTTGCCATTTGGTTAAACTTTAACAATTACATCTCATTAGATCCTAAAGTATCCCTCTTAAAGCCAGCACATTATTAGAAGGGTCATGGATATTGGTTTCGTTTTCAGAATGATATATCTTTAGTTGTGATGACCAAGACATATTATGAGATGTAACGAAATATCCATCATAACAACAAGTTACACCCATTATTATATAGATAATTTTGTTTCCAATTGGCGTGATTAATGAACATCGCTTCTGAATACATTATATGAGGTTGAGTTTACATCCAGATTGAAATTATTTGATTTTTCGACCATAAAGAAATGTTCTCTTCCTAATGACACTAGATAAATACAGAAAACTTGTAGATACATTCTAATTAAAAAGTAAATGTAGTTTTGATCTTAAATATCTTTTTAGGTTGGTAAATTTTGAATTATTTTAACAGACGATCACATATGTTTAGCTGTTAATTGCACAATATATATGAATATCATCAGTGTAGTTTAGTATTTTAATAAATTAACATTTTAAGAATTAGCTTAAGAAATATTAAAAACTTGATAGGACTGAACTACTGGTTCATATTCTAGTTTGAACTCATCACTTTTCATCATTATCCATTCATGATTTCGTATTGAATTCAACTTTCACGAAACGTGAAACATCGTTAATTTGCTAAGTCAAAGTCAAATAATCAATCTATTATTTAGGAAATTAATGTAATTCTAAGCAAGTTTATCTAATAAGATACTTTTTCACACTCGAATTAATTAACTTTACTATGCTATACGTTTCAATTTCATTTACATGGAGATGTATTGAATTACATTCATTCATGTAAGCATAAGTCATTTAGTTCTAATAAACACTGAATATATGATTTTTTTTTTTAAAGAAGGGGGAAAAAGGACAACAAACAACTTAAAAAAGTATTATATGTCAATAGAATAGTTAAAGGGTCAGTTGTACTTTTCATGTTTACTGTAAGGGAAAGAAAAAGGAAATAAAGCAACTATACAATAAATAGTACAAAATATAAAGGATATAAATCATATACTTTTTCTTATATATTCATAATTATTATTTACTATTAAAGAGGAAGAATGTATTTGTAAACTATCAACGAATAAATATGAAATAAATCCAACGTTTCATTTGGCAATTTGGTCTAAGGTTTTTCAAGGAAATATACTATCTATGTATAGAAATCATATGAATCAAAAAAGTTTATTATCTTTAACTATGATATTGATCATAATACTTTGACTTTCATGATGTACTTTCCATGTTTTTTTTCTTCTGTATTTTTCTATTTTTTTCTTTTATGATTTCTTCTATGATCTACAATATAGTTAAGATTGAAGTTTATGTATATTTGTTACTGGGTATTTTAAATTTATAAAGAATTTCGGCGAAACTCTAATTTATGAGCGACCTTTGAACGGATCTTAAAAGACCTTGAGAAATATTAGCCAATCAGAAAAAAGTTAATATAGAGTAAAAATGTTATACAAAACCAAGGAAATAAAGTGGATACACTTCTTATACGTAGTTCAAGAACTTTTCAAGATTAAAAAGAGGTTCAGAGGTTTTAAAATCGTAATGCATGCAGTAGAGGAAATCATCCATACGGCTACAGAATAGTCGGCCTTTGGAGCCATGATAAAGTCTCAAAAACTCTTTCAGCCTCGACCACATAGCTTCAATATTGTTTATGTGCACTTCGGTTGTTGAGTGCACAAAATGTGACTTGTGGATAACGACACAATGCACATAACCAAGCCTATGTAGGAGTCTGTACGCTCTCCAACCATCCGTATATATTGTAGTACCTGACTGCAGCCAGTGTTACTGGTGGTTTTATTATCCAGTTTGCAATAATTGTCGTAATTTGTCTTAGTTAGAAATTATTTATAGGGTTTTCATCACGAACTGACATAAGCTATAATGCCAGAAATTTATTTAGCCAAATGGATGAAAGGCTTTCGCATTAAAATCCGAGATCTATTATCTTATACCTGATTGATTCGTCCACACATTATAGTCCCTCCGTTTTATTTGTTATAGCGGCTCAATTATCACGTTTTGTACAAAATCCCCTGTGAACCGATCGTACGTTAGCATTCAGCACTGAAGTTGGTGCTGTAACCTTGAAATCTCTAAAACGCCTCTGATTGGCTCGTCCATAAATTAGAATCTCGCCAGAATTTCTTCAACTACATAGGATTTAAAGATTGTTTTTATATAAAACTTGGAATAAATGAAAATATCAACAGTATTATGTAATCTCCTTTTACTATGTCTTATTTAAACATAAATTGTATGATGCTAATTTGGCAAATAACATATACAGTGTATAATAAGAATTGTATTGATGATCATTAGATTCTTTGGATATAGGTTAGTTGGTTAAAGGTAGTCGACAGGAAATACTGAACTTAAGTTTCATGCTAGTTGGTGCTGGTCATCAAAAGGTCATTGTAATCTTGAGATAGTTGATGCTCGCTGTGGGACTGGGACTGTTGTCACTCAGCTGTACAATCTGAGAGTTTACCGCTAAGCTTTTCGTGTCACCAATATCATGTGTTTTTAAAAAAATAGTTTTTAATGCTAATCAGGTTCCATTGGTGAAGTTGCAATGTATCTAATGGTCTAACTGACCTGACATTATGTTAATTATGTTAAGATGAATTTTAGTGTTAAATCAATTAAATCAGATGATAGAAGGCTATTGATTATAATTGTAGTGTTTGTTGATAATAAACAACAAGGTATGCAGTATTATCTGATAAAAGACAATGTTTTCAAACATAGACCGATCAACCGTGTGTATGGATACATTACATTCATAATCCAATAATAAGGTTAATTTGTTCAGTCCACATAAATGATCGATTTAGTCAATACAAAGGATTGAGTAAATTATTAATAATAACAATCAAATTAGTTATTAGTATGATTTTCCTTTCTATTTAATGGATCATTTATGCTTTACATTAAAAATTTGTTTTGACTGTTATTTAACTCAGGTTATGGTAATGTGTTTCCATCCACTGCTGTTGGTAAACTACTAACTATTCTTTATGGTATGATTGCCATACCATTGTGCAGTTTGCTAATAAGTCGAATATCAGATGTTATTATCAGACTGACTAAAGCAATTTATTATATGACACTTGATCCTTCTGGAGTTCCAGTTGGATTAAGAGAAGCTTATCATAGAATTGATGCAACTTTCGACTTTCGAGTAAGTTTAGAGATTATGATTACAAAAAGTTTTAATATGTTAAATTTTTGATTGTTAGTTTTATTCTTCTTTAGTTCCTACAATAAATATTCTGTGAAAGATTTGTCTTTTAGATTAACTGAAGCTTAGATAAAAATGTCATTTATGTGCAGAATTAAGCGAACGGATGTCCAGTGGTGACAAAGTTGATGATCAACATGATCCCTACAAAAGTTGAACTACTACTGAAATAACGGCTTAATTTAATGCAACTGCTGATGAACTCAAATATTTTGTCGGAAGCATCTAGCCCCTTTTCGTCTTTCTAGCACCGTTCGACATAACTCCAGAGATTATATGAGAACTTAACTGTGATCCTGATTTCACTGTCACGTGTAACACGTAGTTCTGACTATATGAAAACGTACTCCAAGTTTATTTGGTGATCATATGGTTCATGAAAGATTCGCACTTCGTTCAGTAGATGGGTCCTACTAAGTCAGACAAATATTGAAACGTGAAATTCATGCAATCTTACATTTTAATTTATATGCCATTCATTAAATTAATTGTTTGATGGTGTTATTCAATTTGCGTTACGGACACTCCATGTATGAGAAAGATTATTTCCTAATCAATCTTAGTGGTTTATATAAATAATCTCAATGACTTTAGCTAGACATTTCAGTGGAAGATCAAGTCACATCACCGATAATAAAATTTTTGGTTTGGGATCTCGTAGGTTCATTGGAGTTATAACGAACATATTAAATCATCTGGACTAAGACCCAAATATCCATTAAATAACACTGATAACAATTTTCAGCAACTAGTTAACCTGTGGCATGACAGTATGCTAGTGCAATTTGAAGTTCAAAACGACTTATAAATATGTACTGTCCAGCAGAAGCAGAAACTTATTGTATCCCCATAAATATGCTCCAAACTGTCGCTGGTTTTCAACAACAATGTCTACCTTACAAAATCTGAAATTCATCATTAACTTACTTACGCTTTTTACCCACCGCCAATTTGAATAATGCCTAGTAACCAGTGGTTTCTTATCAATATATTTCATTTACCTACCATAACACTTTATTATCCCCTAATTATTGTTTTTATTGGTTGACCTGTATTTTCAACAACAACAAAAAACTTGTTAACATCTTTGAGAATTAATCAACAGTTTATTTATTTAAAGGGACTATGAAAGTAACTTGTAAATACTACTTCATTGTTTTAACAGTCATATAACATAATTCTCTTTTGTCTACAAATATTAACAAAGACCATCAAATGATCGTTTTCCACATGATCAATGATATATATATATATATATATATATATATATATATATATATATATATATATATATATATATATCCTTCTATAATTAATCCTACCAAATTACAATGTAACAAAATTTATCAGTTTCAGTAGTTCCATAACTAAGATGTTTTTATGACAAAACTAACTAAGGAAGTCACCAATCAAAACTAAGTCTCAAGTTATCATAAAACAACTGTTTAATAGATAATCTTCAATTATCTAGAGAATACATATTCAAGTATCATAGTTACGTTTTTTCTCCTCTTAATATATATATGCATGTATTTATGTAAACTGTTTAATTATTGATTTATCTATATTTTCTTATCTAACCTAGGTACTTCCTTGCATATTAACATTCGTAATCTATCTAGCATTTGGAGCTGGGATATATTCTTATATAGCTGGACAAAAGGAATTAGAGTGGAGTATTTTGGATTTAATTTATTTCGCATTTATTTCATTATCAACTGTTGGATTTGGAGATTTAGTACCAGAAACTGATGTATTTTTAGCAGTTTTATCAATTATTTACATAATTATTGGTTTAGCAATTACTGGTATTGTATTTGGACGTTTAACTGAAGCATTTGAACATGTTTTATGCGGTCATACTATCGAGTCAATTGAAGAAAATCTCATAAATTCTGAACAAAGTTCTATTCAAGCAACCAAACTTATGAAAAATAGAACAAATGTAACACATTTAAAACAAAATTAACTCATTGAACACTGATTATAAAGTAATAATAAAAAGAAATAACTAAACAATTATTTCATCAACAGAGGGATGAAATCTGGGGATAAACTGAATTATAAAACGATTATCGATTAAAAATATTTTCTTTGATTCCTACTTGTTGTTTGTAAATGAGAACAAAATCATGTTGCTTACCTTTAGTATGTTGTTATATTAAAAATAAGTACAGTTAATACTCATTTTATCTGTTTATGGTTTTTTTTTTATTTTGTAGAAGTAATTTATTTGAAGAGAACTGTAATGTTAACCTTAGTTAGGAAGCAATATGAGGTGGATCTTTAACCAAACAAAAAATAAAGAAGATGTACTGTAATCAAAATATAATTTCATATTTTTGTCGTATTTTCATATTAATCCATTACCTGAATGTTCTGTAGATGAATACAAACATCAAAGTCATTAACATAAAGTCTAGGTTAATATCCTTCATTTTAGGTAGTAAAGAAAATCATTTCTAATGTATAACACCAAGAATTGATATGAGTATTTTGTGAATGATACAAATAATTTACACTTGATTACTGGAATCTGCTTAATCTCTTTCCTCTAACATTTGAAGATAAAGAATTAATAAATTTTTTGTAAACTACACAACTTACAGTCTGTTCAGATAACAGACAATGACAACACTCTACTAGTTATCCGAAGCTTACTTAAAAGTGACATATCAATAAAAATACTACTGAAGGAAGAAACTAACAAAGATGTGAGATTTCAATTTATATTGTGAAAACTGATATTATATCATGTTAATATTATTTCACATAGTGAATGGCTAATCTTATTTATAGTATTTTATTTAGTGTACTACATAGTTACTGTTATTTATATACACATAATTCCCTTTATCATACTGAAGACAGCAAGGACAAAGATTCACACAGAATAGCATAAATTCATTTGATTTTATTTAGTTCTGATCACCTGCTTACAACCTGTGATATTATAAAATCGCAATTACAAAATGGGTTTAAATTACTTACATGAAAGAGTTTAATTGGAAGTTACTTTGAGGACACATTAGTATAGTAATAACAAGGGTATAAGTAAGTTTAATAGACTGAATATTGTAAAGATATACCTTATTTGGAAGAACATTCAACAACATTGATAATAACAAAAGTCCAAAGAGCTAGAAGCAAGCGATTACGTAATAAGTAAACGCTGATAATAACTAAAGTGAACAAAGTTAAATAAAATAAGATTACAAATCTCGAAGATAGTAGAAATAAAAAGACGTAATGATGTAGTTAGCTGAAGAAAAGAGTTGAAAAAAACTTTAACTTAATACAGGAATATCTGTCACCAAGGCAAAGAAAGATTAACAACTATCTCATTTTGAACACATAAATCAGATTTCTGACGTCTGGCAGCAACGGCTTCAGCAAACTTCAGGGGACTGAAGCTTGGCTGGCGTACGCCGTAGCGATTTCGAGCAGAAATGCTAATGCGAGTGAGTGAATATAGAGGCGAATAAGAAGTCGAAAGAATTAATAAGATTCAAGCATATATATGAGAAAGCAAATGATTTATTGAGCAATTTAAGTAGCAAAAATTTAAGCTCGAGAAAAGGATATGTGCATGGACTGCCACATGTGATCAAGCGTACATGTCCATACAAACATGACAGTTATACCAAGATATCAAATTGCCACTGTATGAATAACACTATTTGTTAAATAATTTAATTGAAGATCTTGATAAAATTAAAGGTAAATAAATCTAACTGTAGTAGAGGTGCTGTAGATCGTTGAAGAGTTCTAATTGGTGAATTGCATGCTAATAATAATAAACGCGTCACTAACACATTTGGAGTATTCATTTGCTTGTTTAATAGCTTGTTTAAACGCTTTGTTTAAAAAAAACCTACAAAAATATCTTCCATAATTGGAACCAATGTAATTCCTACTACTGCATCATAGAACTGATGGTATATGGTGTTACTGAACTGGGACTCAACATCTTTAATGCACGTAAGCAGACGTTTTTCGAATTCTGACATTGATAAAGGTAGGATATCAGAATTATGCCAAGTTATATTAGTAGTTTCAAGAATTGGTATTACAGAGAACAAGGATGGACTTACTAGCAACATTCATACGAATTAGTCCGTTAGCAAATCGGAATGAATCTTCTAACATAAATGATGCTAATCTCTGACAGGCTGGTTCTAGGTTATCTGTTAACCAGAGCGGGACTGTGATACAGTGAATCGATCATTAAAAAGACAGGTCTAAGGGGGGGAGACATGTTTGTGTACTTCAAGTGGACCATGTATTTATGGCAGACATGAGCAGCATGGTCTTAGCTCATTGTAAGTAAAATCGGCATCCATTTTTCTTTTTAGAAGTTCTCTATTCATGCCTGTGATTCATTTTTTTTGAAGCAGTTAAATCTTTGTTGAATTTGTCTACCATTAATCTCAATCGGTTGTTTAGGATTGACTTAATCTTAGTGATATAATCAGCTGTGTTCATTCGAATGACACCCAAACCTTTATCTGATTGTAAGATCATTACCTCGTCATTCTGTTTAATGTTTCTTACAGCTGTCAGATGTTTTTTTGGATCAAATATTGGACTTTGATGTCGATGAAATCAAATATTGGTCAGCAACATGAACTAACTCAAATTTGAGCCATCCCTTCTCTTCATCATTCATTAGATGCAAATCTTCTAACTGGTCAAATAAATTTTCGAATTGAGCTTCTGCATCAATCCTGTTAGTACTTGTTTTTGGTATGTAAAATCCTTGTCCCAATGGTCACGCTTCTGCTTCTGTGTTATTAAGTTTCATAACTGATAATTTATAAATAAACTTCGAAGGGTTTTCTGAAAACCCTAAATATAGTTGTTTTTTATTGTTTTAATTACTGTTCTATGTGTTGTAGGTTGTAAGCAACTGATGAGGATCAAAAGAAATGAAATGACTCCACGGTATTTTGCTAAAGTCTTCGTTCTTATTATTGTTTATTTGGGATTTATGTGAGGATTATTTCCATTTCAAGACAGCTCCCATATCTTCAGTCACAAACCCTTGGGAACTGTGAAGAACTTCTGATCGACATTATCCTCTTGTTTGAAATTATTACTGCAATCTTCCGGAGGTTGCCTCGAGGAGTTCAGTGGTTAGGTTCCGGTAGGATATATGTGTTGAAGTGACTTAGCGTACTTACTATGTTTTTTGCTGGCATCAGATGACCTCTTATAATACTGTAGCCCATGACCTCAAGTGTCACAGCCTATCCTCGTAAGATGTATTCCCCAGCCATATTGTCAACGTTTTTTTTAGCAAATTCTATATCTATTTTAAGAGATTTATATCCTCTTAGGAGAAGGGTTCAACAATATTATGAACTTGAGGGGTGAGGCTGCATGTACTTCTAAAATACTTCTGGAAACACAACTGGAGTAGTAGCACCAAATTCTCTCTATACAAAATGAAGAGTTTTGCTTACTTTGGGTGAACCCCTTGTGTAGTTTGTGCATGTGTCCAAGTCCTTTGTAGTTCATAGTTCTAGATCGCAGTATGTGGAGATAATTGTGATATTATCACAGAGAACATAAGTTGTTCGTATCTTATAGGGCTGAACGTTTACAAAGCGGTATTTCAATAAGTTAAATCTTAACGCACTTCTCACTTCTCATCTCCTTATTGTTGTAAGGTTCTGTCCTAGGTTGAGTATATCCTATTTACTTTTTATGGATTTCCATATCTTGGCATCATCAGTATAGATTAGGGTCGGCTGGTTAGTTTTACCTTGGGAGCCAGAAAGCGGAACAGTCCTAAAACGGTTCTTCGTAAAAATCCTGGTTCCAAGGCTCTCCAACTCGCATGCATTCCGTTTTCTTTGATACGAAGCACCAGATCGTCCAGGTAGTTTGGGAGCCAACACAGAACTGTCACTGAAATCAATCCTCTTGGAATGGCACACTGTCGTACGAAGTGGATTTTGTCACGTTCTGGTTACTTACTTGAGATCAGAGACTTCAGTCTCGCTGATGCTTCCCAGACCACAAGGCGATACCAGAGTATAAAGAGTCCCTCGCTTATATTTTCATGTTCAACTGTATAGCGAGATGGCCGTTGAAGATTTTGGTCGTTTCTAAGTTTATAAAATTTCCATCGTTAAGGTGTTTGAGACCACGGGGACCCTGGTTTTTAGGTTTCCATTTCATAACAAACCAACTGAGATATTGTGTGTTGATTTGTATTTCAGAAGCCAGTTTGGTCTGTAAATATCCACTATTGCTATTATCTTTGTCAGCGTAAATACTTCGCAATGTCAAATAAGAGCTATGGCCGTAAAGCTTTAGGGAAACTTTCCAAGTATCCTATACTCATTTTTGGCCTACACCAATTGCTTTTTTCTTATATCCACCCAGGATGCTCTATTTAGAGAGGCGTTTTGGAACCGAATGAAATTATACAGGATAGTTTCCTACGTAATACTCTTCACAATATCTTGGTAGTCGTCCGCCGTTAGCCCTACCACTTTTGTTGCCACGGGACGCATTCACAATACTTTATCATAGCTACGTAGTCTTTTCAACTGTAGCAAAAGCATGTAGCATTCTCGTCCCTCTAGGTTACTATGATAATTAGAAGTATCCAAATTAATGTGCCTAGAAAAGAAGGCCCAGGACAGAGTGGGTTGGAGAATGCTGGTCAGCGGCCTATGCTCCATTGGGAGTAACAGGCGTAAGTAAATAAGTAAGTAAATTAATGTGCCAAATAAGAATTCCCGAAATAGTTGAATTTGAGGCAGGTAAGAATAGATGGGCACAAATGAATGTTTTATGTTTGAAATTCACAATGAGCGGGCAATCAAGTACAAAAGAATCATCAATTGGTACAAATAGCACAGCCAACACAGCCTAAATCGGAATCCAAACTTCTGGGATCGGTTGTACTTCTCCTTAGGTTTACCATGTGTCTGTTCGACTGTGTATTGGATGTAGACTTTGTGTGATCTGGAACTTACTTTTTAGTATTAGACTTAACAGCCGAAATTGCAACGGGCTTACCTGGGTCCTTATAACATATTCGGTCGTTGTGACCGCTTTGCACATGAAACATGGTTTTATTGACCTGTCTTACCATACCTTTAGCAGATCGTGGGAAAGACGTTCTTTTGAGATTTTTTTTGCCTAATCAAGTTGATCAATGTTTATTTTGCTTACGGTCTGGTAATTCTGCACCAAGTGGCTTTATTTCTCTCCACTATAAGTCTCTGAATTTTGCAGCGGTAGTAGAATCGATGTTTGTTTTCGAGGCATAAGAGGATAAGTGGGCTTTGGAGTCGTGTGTAATTCTTCACACTTCAATTCCGTACTTAACA